TATTATTATCATTATTATTATTTTTACTTCTTCACATTGGTGCCATTGTGAACGCGCTTTTTAATGAGAGCGAAGAAGGGCAGGCATATCATTGCACGATCTAGAAATATGATGATCCAAGTCTATACTTTGCCTACAGAGTGTAAGAAGCGAATACAGTGCGCGGAGTGGTTTACGCAAATATGGGGATTTATTTTCCCGGAAGTACAATGTTAAAACAACTCCAGGTATGGTATGAAAAAGATTGAGTGACCTTTGCCATATCATGCAACGATCTTGAATGTGCATAATGAATGTTAGTTTTCTGCCTCAGGTTATTCCGAGAAAAACGAACCTGATCCTAAACAGGAAGCCTTTCCTCGTCATAAAATGTCAAACCCAGTAGCAATACGAGTATGTCGGATCGACAGATGTGCACTGCATCTGTCCTTGACAGGAAAATCTTAAAACCATTCTCGTTAGCCCATTTGTCAAGTTTAAACTGCTGCGTCTGCAGCTGTCTTTCCCTTATGTCTTTTCTGAATAGTTCTAATTCTGTAACAATATCATAAAATCATGACAATGTAAGGAGCTATCTATTTTGTTTTGAGGGACGTGGAAAAGGGGAACACTTTCCTCCTACTGGTGCAGTGAGAGTGGGAAAGAAAAGATCCGGCGCGAAGCTGGAAGGAATGGTTTTGCAAAAAAATGCTGCTCAGGCCGATAGGGTGTAGATCTTGAAAAATACCGAACTTCCAGGTTGTGTCTAAAGCCTTTTCGATGTAGAAAAAGACGGTAACCGTGTGGACTCCAACGACTAAGGTCCCAAGGGTAAGTGTCTTCAGGCGGACCAGGTGATCCAGAGTGATCCAGTTTTCCTGAATAGGCATTGGATACCACTAAGTGAGCCCGTCGTCCCTAGAAACCACATGACTCGTCTGTTCACATTTTTTTCTATAGGTTTACATAGACACATTGTTAAGGCGATTATCTGTGACTGAATAGGTGTATGTGATCCTTACCTGGTTTGAGAATAAGAATGATAGTGACAAGTCGCTAGGAGTTGGGGAACGGGACCAATGCCATACAAAGATCCCTTACCTGGAACTGCGAGTGGCTCCAAGCATCTCTAATGCTTAGGTTCATCACCAGGGCAACATATGACTTTCTGCCATGAAAAGCTAATCTCGTGAAGTCGGACAAGGAAGAAGATCCCCGCTGCCCATTTTGCCAGGCCAGGAGAAGCAGACACTGTAATGTGCCTTCAGTTTCTATTAGGTATCGCTAGCTGATGCCAGACACACGTGGCGGCCCCACAAAGTGCTGAAAGAGCTGATTCTCACAATCTCCTGAAGCCTGGAGACACCGACAATGAAGTAGTTCCAGCCTAGACATTTTCCAAGTAGGGAAGAAGAAGAAATGGGTTGGTAAAAAAACAAGTTCCGTGCCTCTCTAAGAGTGGAAACTTTCGAGAATGAGAAAAGGATTGGGAACTAGCTACCGATCTCCCAGAATGGCAGAACTACCCTCTCATGATCAAGAGAACAGGTCTCAAATCAGATATTGTTCTTTGGTTAAAAACTGATGTCAAGATCTTCTTAATCGAGCTGGCTGTTCCACACGTTAGTAAAATAGATGTACAGTATCAATTCATGTTTGCAAAATATGAAGATCTCTCGAACCTACTTCAAGGAGAGGGTTATATCTCCTAGATCAAACCAGTAGAAGTGGATGCACGAGGGTTTGCCGCGGCCTCAATGTTCACACTACTGGGGCAACTAGACCTCAAAGGTCAGTAGGAATAGACTGATTGCCGTTCAAGAAAGAATGAAGGACGCCTGGAAAGACAGGTGACGCTGGGAAAAACCAGATGGGCTCGTAGGGCGAGCAACCCTACAAGTCATCACGTAAAAATATGACCACAGGATTCACCAAATGGGGGGGGAGGGAGTGAATGATGAATCCGTAGGTGCCTATGGGATAATGGATTGAAATGCATACATGATACTGAATTCAGAGCAACGTATGGACTACCCAGTTACTTGCGGGAGAATATTCAGCTCTCAAAGAGGTATAAAGATATAAAGGACAAAGATAGGTTGTGACATCCAGCCAAGCCCTCAACAAAAGCGCTCTATTCCCACAGATAAGACGTCGGAAAACCAAGGCCAGGACCAAGCCCTTAGTGCTGCGGACAACAAAACTGTTGAAGAAGAAGGAGGGCTGACACAAACAGAAGGCCCAGAACCAGCTTTCCTCTTGCTATCTCGAAAGATGCCTGGTAGAACCTTGATAGTGCTATCTCGAAAGATGCCTGGTAGAACCTTGATAGTGCTATCTCGAAAGATGCCTGGTAGAACCTTGATAGTGGTATCTCGAAAGATGCCTGGTAGAACCTTGATAGTGCTATCTCGAACACTGCAAAACAGAGATAGGCGACAAGGAGTACCATCAATGTCTAGAGGTATTTGGGAATATTGCGTGCACTGAGGTATTTGGGAATATTGCGTGCACTGAGGTATTTGGGAATATTGCGTACACTGAGGTATTTGGGAATATTGCGTACACTGAGGTATTTGGGAATATTGCGTGCACTGAGGTATTTGGGAATATTGCGTGCACTGAGGTATTTGGGAATATTGCGTACACTGAGGTATTTGGGAATATTGCGTACACTGAGGTATTTGGGAATATTGCGTACACTGAGGTATTTGGGAATATTGCGTGCACTGAGGTATTTGGGAATATTGCGTGCACTGAGGTATTTGGGAATATTGCGTGCACTGAGGTATTTGGGAATATTGCGTACACTAAGGTATTTGGGAATATTGCGTACACTAAGGTATTTGGGAATATTGCGTACACTAAGATTAAGGAGCAACTTGGGGGGAAAGCAAATTGAAGCAAACGCCACAGAGCAATGCGTGACAAAGACAGATGAATGACGTAGGAACCAGATTAAAGAAACTGCTGAAAACAACGTCGGCAGAAGAAAATAAATGCTATAGAAAACTGTAATGAACTAAAAATAGACAAAGGGAGGAGAATCGTACCAGTGCGCCAGGCACATCTTTGACCAACCAAGATCTGGATAACTCAAGGTCAAAAGAAGCAGCCTGGAGGAACACCTGAGGATAACATACTCCGATGATCAGCAAAACGTCCCACTAGAAAATAACCCTAGCCTGGTTTGGCCGGATGGCCCTGATGAGAAGTTCAAAAAGAGGTTGCCTACCCTCGATGAAATAATGCGATTTGTCAAAAAAGCAAGATACAAATCTGTCCCTGAGCCCATTGTATGGTACAAAAGATGCCCAAAGGTCCTTAAAGGGCTACATATTCAGCCGACAGTGTCATGGAAGAACGGCCATATAAACAAGGAATGGATGAAGGGAAGACATCCCTAAAGGAGCTAAAGAAATGGATTCTGAAAGGATCAGCCAATTTCGTCATATCTCACTGCTGAATGTTAAGGGCAAAATATTCTTCTCGTTGATGATGGCATCCAAACTCATGTCCTACCTATGGATATAGAGACACCACGGTACAGAAAGGTGAAGTACCCGGTATAGCTGGCTGTTCAGAACACGGGAGCATGACCAATGACGTGACCTTGATATCACCTGGCTTTACTCGGCAAATGCACATGATTCGGTGCCTCATTAAGTGATTCAGATATCCCTTGGCATGCACTGTGTTCTGGAAGAAATATTTCATAAGCTCCTTAACTACTTTAAGGGGTTCCAGAAGAAGTTCAGCCCGGCTTAATATACAGTAGACTGGGTTAACCTTTAAGTGGGTACAACAATGAGATGCACAGTTTATCCAGTATTCTTCAATGCGATGCATGTGCTCCTCAAGGCTGCAAAAATCAAGGCAATCCCAGCGGAACTTGGATGCGGTTGTCAAACGCCATCATGGACGACAAGAAGAGAACCACAGAGTGCTCCGGCATATGGATGATTTAATGAGATAGTGACGAATGAATTTAAGCGAACGAAATATAGAAATGTCTTACTTAGAAATGGAAAAGTGGGCAAGCACACCCATTTTCATGTAAATGGCCAACGAATCCCCACCATATCAGAAGAGGAAGTAAAGAGCCTGGGGAGGAGGTATGATGAGACCCTGAGAGACGCGAGACAAGCGAAAGAGACAACAAGCAGGTGGATAGCCATTAAAACTCCCGAAACAACCCAAAGTACAAATCATTCAAAAAGAAGTTGAAGCGGAATCATCTGTGTGTAAGTGTCCCATTAACATTTAACAACAATACCTAAACTAAAGGTAAAAAAAGCACAGAAGCTCACAACGCAGAATTCACAATACACGAACTCAAAATCATGCCTCTGAGGCCAGAATAATACAACCCCAGACCCGAATGAAAGACAAAATCAGATAATCAAACACCTACTCAGAGAAATACTTACTCCTCTTTTACGCATGTACACCACACGGCAATCACACACCTTGCACAGTGTGAGAAAACTCGTGGGGCAAGCGCACAGCAGGATATCTTTAGACGAAGAAACCCCTTCAAGTATGTGTTTCAGCCCCAACTACCTGACATTCTAAGGCTATGTTCACGCTGAGCCCGGCCATTTGCTGGCAGCTGCTGCAATCTGTCGTCACGCCCATATCTTCTTCCCTGCCACGAAAGCTGATGATACACGTTCAGACTGCCGCCAGCACACGCCATTTGCCGTCAGCCAGCAATTTGCTTTGCCGTGTGTTCACAAAACAAATGGCTGGATGGTCGAAGAGAAATAATTTCCCACTAGATCTATACCAACAGAGTGAATGTCCTTGATTCGCAGTCAATTCCCGGCAAAATGGACGAAGAGAAGCTTATCATTGCAGTCCAAAGGAGATCGGTGGTATACAAAAAGAGAACAAAAACTATCACAACCGAGATACATCCATCAGGTCTGGGTATCGTCCATCAATTGCGGAATCAAAAGATGGTGTTGCCCATGCACACTACGATTGCAATGAATTGGGTGAACACCATATTTTCGAGAATTCCGTTTCAATAATCGGTTTTGTAAAATCCGCCACGGCTATATAAAAAAAAGTACATGAGTTGCAGTGTAAGATGATGATTTATCCTACGGGTGAAATTGCCAAGTTGTAATCACGAGTTTGAACGAGTGATTACAACTGGCGATTTAACAAGTTGGATAAATCATAGTCTAAAACCATAACAAGTGTAATAGATTTTTTAAAAATACCATACTGATATCAGCTGGCGAAATACATAAGTACCAACAAAGTTCAAAAGACCAGCCAATTGGACAAGAGGATTCATTCTAGAGTCTCATTCTCATGCCCTTCTGAGTCAGACTAAAAATTGGGAAAAATCTGGATTGTTTTCCTTTACTTTTAGCCCTGCTAATTTACAAGTTGTGCTATCCGTATATCTACCTACACGAAACAACCGCCGCCCCCCAAAAAAACACAAAAAAACAACAACAAACAAACACAAACAAACAAAAACAGCAACTACAAACAACAAAAACAAAAAACTATCATAACGCAAAAATAAGCAAAATATTCAGAAAACGTAGGCCCCTACGATTCAAAAGTTGAAAGAAACTGCTTTAATACGGTATGTTGTCGTTAGAATAATTTTGATTTTAATCTTTGTAACCAAAAGAAACCAAAGGCAAAGAGTTAGATCTAAGATCTGTTCTCTAGATCTAGATCTAATGCATTGTATTACATAGGTCAAATATGAAGAAAAAGCTTTTCAGGTACAAAAGTTGCCAAGTTATTTGGAAACTGATGTGCTGATTCCACATATGTAGGCTAGTTAGTTTTTGTCTCTAAGGTCAGGGTTTTGCAGAATTCACATAGATCTAAATCTATTCGATTTCCGATATTCTTGATTTCATCAGGGGAGGTAAGAATATCAGAATAACAAGGGAAGTAACTTTTATTATTTCCCAAAAAGTAATTAACCAAGAGTGTTATACTGGTATATTGTCTAATATCATATTTTTCTATTACTTCTTGTTTTAAAGTGTAACCTTCTTTCATTTCTATAGTTGATTGTTTAGTATATGTAGTGATAGAATTAAGGTAAACAAAAATTCGAAAGGCAATGCTGGGTTAGCTGAACAGTGGGGAGGGGGGTTTATTGTTTGATAATGTGACTTCCAAATTTCAAAATAAAGTAAATATTTGATGATTATGATTAAAATTTATTCAAGCTGATATAGGCCTAGATCAAGGAAGTTATAAAAAGAACTATTAGATCTATAACCTGTTTGGCCTAGATCTAGTAGTGGAAATCTAAATCTAGATATCTAAATCTAAGTGGTTTCTGCTATTTAATTAGTCGTGTTGTAGATCTATCATAAACAATCATTTTGAAAATTAAAATGTACTGTCCACTGATAACCCGCTGTGTTTATCTGGTGTGCTGCTACAATGTACGGACGGAAAAAGCAATTCCCAAACGTCACTAATCACATTATAATGATGACCCATTAGAACAATAAATGATTTTTTTATTCGAGAAAAAGATGTTACTTAATGAACTGAACGTAACAACACCATACTCTTACGTAATCCCGGTTCATTATGGTCCCCGCCATTTGACTCTATTTGAAACAAAATTAAGGGCAACGTAGAAAGATTTGAATCTATATAATATATACTCGACGATAAGAGATATCAGCCGTGCAGTCTAGGCCTTGAGAAGAATAGGACTGACGTGGTGCTAGCGTGTCGTACGAGGCGACTAAATGGCGAACCAGGTAGTGACTCCTGAAACAGAGTCATCCTGCCTCCAGGTCGGGGGTTGAGTCACGAGGCTAACATCCTCTCTCGTAAAAAGAACCTGTTACAGAAACACATACAAGCAAAAACCATTATCTCTGCTTGGCTGATCGTGGATTTTCTCCAAATGGAGAGTTTATGATGCAAGGCAGTGAAAGCCGAAAGGAACGAGCTTGGAAGGATGGCTCAGGACAGAGATAAATGGAAGGAGCTTGTATGTGGCCTATACCCTGCCAGGGGTGAAAGGCATTGATAGATAGCAAGACTGGGAGACTAGATCTTGTGTTTGTTTCGGGGCCCATGGTGAGCGCGCTTGACAGCGGTGTTTTTAAAGTTTTTACTAGCCTACTTTGCTTACACAGGGGGATAGGAGAAGAAGGCGAATAAGCTATAGTGCGTGAAGTAATTTAAGCAAATTTTTATATTTCACGTGTGAAATATAAGGATATATTTTGCCCGAAAGTGCAATGCTAAAATAACTCCAAGTATGGTATAAAATTTGTTTCTTCCTCCTGGAAAGCGCCAAGCATTTTTACCCCTAAAAGTGTAGCATCAGTTTGCCTGGCAGGAGCTGCCGGCTCTACCGTAAACACTGCAAGGCAGGACGTTGCCGACGGCAGCTGGTTGACGGCAACTTGCCGGGTTTAGCGTGAACTTAGCCTTATTGACTCCCAAGTGCTGCTTTTTTTCGGCGCTGATCGAGGATCGAACCCTCGAGGTTTGGGGTTAGCTTCATGAATGTTCGTGCAATGCCACTGAGACCTTAGTGAATATGGCAAATGCGAAGCTGTATAAATCTACTAACGATTTTGGGGAATTCCATAGAACATGTTCAAAGAATGACAGTTTGCTGCTCCAATTGATATTAAAGAGCATTAACATTGAAAATTGGCATTTTTTCCTGACAGCATACATAAAAACAGCCGTGTTCATTTTCAGTGTAAGCTACAGTAACAGAGACGTGCGGTCCTTCCAGCTGCAAGACCATGTGCTAGAGAGTGTGTACAGAGTGCCCAAGAGAAGAGAAAACTCACAGGTGTCTGATTACCCGCTGCCATGGAATAAG